TATATATAGATATAATAATCTAAAACCAGAACAAATTATTGCTAGAAGAAAAAGCCCTAAAATTAGATCACCTAAAATCAACTTACTCAACAAACAACGTCATCATTGGAGGAGATCTCACCCTGGTTCAAGATGAATTTTATGACAGATGGTCCTCGAAACACGACTCAGCTCACCCAAACACAACATTCAGCAACTTTTGCAATGAACAAAATCTAGTTGACACGTGGCCTCATCTCAATCCCGGTTCAATAAAATTCTCATGATTTGGTTTAAATTGCAAATCAAGAATTGATCACTGGCTTGTAGCAAATGAATTACTGATCAATGAAATCAACTCTGATATTTCTGTAGCACCTTTGACTGACCATAGTCTTATTTCCTTACAAATAAAACCCCAAAACTGGAAACCAGGCTCAAGCAAATATTAGAAATTTAACTCCAGTCTTCTTTAAAATGGCACGTACTGCCAAAAAAAAATATCAAAGAATTAATCCTGAATATAACGGACTCTCAAGATTTAAATAGCAAAATCAAAGGTAAGGTCTATTCAGTGGTACTTGAGAAGCGAGTGCAATCATTGGTCGAGCATCAGATCCAGGAGGTCTGTAGGGTTTCCAGTACGGTGACCTTAGGATTCCATCTCTGCTCTTTGCAGATGATGTGGTCCTGTTGACGTCATCGTGCCGTGATCTTCAGCTCTCACTGGAGCGGTTCGCAGCCGAGTGTGAAGCAGCTGGGATGAAAAATCAGCACCTCCAAATCTGAGGCCATGGTCCTCAACTGGAAAAGGGTGTATTGTTCTCTTCAGGTCAAGGGTGAGGTTCTGCCTCAAGTGGAGGAGTTCAAGTATTTTGGGGTTTTGTTCACGAGTGAGGAAAGAATGAAGTGTGAGATTGACAGACAGATTGATGTAGCATCTGCAAAATTGCAAACTCTGTACCGGTCTATTGTGGTGAAGAGAGCGCTGAGCTGTAAGGCAAAGCTCTCTGTTTTCCGGAGAGCTTCCTCAGACTGAGGAAGTCTCTTGGATGAGAGACGAAACGTTTCTTTTTTTTTTTTTTTTTTTTTAAATGTCCAGAGGACCAGATTGAACTTTTTTGGATTTTTCTACCTGGATTATTGAGCATGCATCAAGATAGATACAGGTTCAGGGAAGGGTCGGAGCAATGAATAAAAAGAAAACTCACTGGCTGGTTCTGCTAGGATAATAAGTGTCATTTATTAAACTGCCACAGATACAGCGAAGCAAAGTACATTCAGTACAAATATCCCGGATCTGATGGCAGAGGATCCCACACACAAACTCAGAATGGTTTTAAAATGTTTATTGAATGAA